GAGCCGAAAACACAAATTGTTAAAAACGTATCCATCAGGCGGAAAAATGTCGGTTTCCCCCATTTCATTTTTGTGACCATGGTCTGATTTCACCACCATGCCAAACACATGATGACTGCATAATGATGGGAACAGTTTGCTCTAATGGATATCCAACTTTGTGTTTAATGTAGAGTGCCAAATATGTCTGGCCTGAGACCACAACAAGGATACTTTGCCTCGACAAATGATTTCAGTGATTAGTTTAGGTAAGGTAGGTATAGTATGGCAGCAGTTTAATCTCATTAAAAGGTTGAAAAGATATAACCTCCGATTTTAACGTCCCGTTTATACAAGGACGGTAGAACATTGCAAGAGCTTCACGTCTTAGAACAGTTAAAAACGATGTGACCTCCGATTTTAACGTTCGGGTTATGTAAGGTATATAATATTGTTTGGCATGGATTTGACGTTCTGAAGCAGTTTAAGAGATACACCCTCAGATTGGGTGGTTGAAGGCAGTGCCGGATTAAGACCCAGCTGGCCCCAAGGCACACTTCACTGAGTGGCCTGAGAAAGTTAGATACACACACATACACACACACACACACACACACACACACACACACACACACACACACACACACACACACACACACACACACACACACGCACACACACACACACACACACACACACACACACACACACACACACACACACGTGCAAATTCAAAACTACAGACAAAGCACGGTCTGTCTGTGCGTGTGTCTGTCTGTTATGCAGTCCAAAGTATGACAGTATGGAATATGGACAACATACCTGTAGGATAATGTAACTAAGGTCTCACAACAGAGTAAAATTATGCATTATTATTTTTCTACCTAGATTGCCATTTTGCGTGCTTTTGCAACAGCGAATTCATCAACGACTTTGTTAATGTCAACGTTGTGCAGTAAATCGCTTTCAATTGAAAGAAATGCAAGCATCCCTAGCCTCTGCTGAGACATGGTTGAACGTGTCTTTAAAGCGTTTCAATTGCGAAAATGAACCTTCGCCAGTGCAGTTAGTTGACATTAGAGACAGGTACATCCGCAATGCTATCTCGCTGTCTGGAAAAGCTGAGTGGACACCAGTGTTATGCAAGAGTTTGAAAAAGCTTTGAGCACTTCCAGTTGCATTATCCAGATATACTTGCTCTTTCACCTATCATAGGCACTGTATAAATTCCATTGGAAAGTGAGGAGAGAGGTCATGTGGACAGACATTAACAAGTGCTTATGTTGCAGCATTGATGTCTTCAGCTGATATTGAATTATACTCTGTTAAAACACCAAACCTCTGCACTGCTGTTGAATAGGCGTCAATTCGTTTGCATAGGGAACTTTTCAGTTGGTCTATGATAACCAAGAATGTATTCACTTTGAATTTCTCATGACCCGACATTTCATCCATCACACTTGCGGCATCTCCGTCATCTACTGTTTTCCTGTGTACACGTGCTCTCCGACTGTCTGATTTATATATTGCTGCTTCCACATCGGTCACTTGCCTTGAAATGGTAATAGGCAAACTTTTCTCGACACCTACCTATATATGTGTCTTAACTTTTTAACAATTCAATGGCCGGGCTTAGTTCAATAGTTACTACAGCAATTGAAGCGATGTAAAATGTCATTCTAAAGTTCACACTTGAAAATAACTTCAAAGGTGTCCATATAACTTGCAAGAGCGCCAGCTTTGTGCTTTGTGAGACCATTCAGGTCAATAACTTCTGCAATCTCTTGTACTTGTAGAGCACTTTGGATTGTCTGTAGCCCCTGAAGACTGCTTCTGTCGCATCAGCCCGGGCAGACCACCGGGTATCCGATGGGTGTTTTGGGACAAGACATTCAGGATTTTCCTCAAAGTGTTGTAATAAAATATTCCAACGATATGTTGATGCAACAAAAATGAATACAAACGCTGCAGGAACTGAAAGAGAGACACAGCTTCTACACAGCCATCTACAGCTGATTAACCAAATAAATTGAGAGAGTGGCCTGCGAACGGAATATGATCCACAAGATTTATATTTCAAAATTGTCTGCATTCCAGTGTATTTCCCAGAAGTGTTACTGGCATTGTCGTGTGTCTGGCCACAACACTTCTCAAAGTCGATGCCTTGCTCCCCTAGGCATTGGAGCAACGTATCTGCAAGATTCTGTCATGTGTGGCTGGAGATGTTGATGAATGTCAAAAAGCGCTCCCCGGGCTGGTGATCTACCATATTGACATAGCGTAAAACAATGGATACCTGATCAGAATGCGTAACATCTGGAGTAGAATCTACGGAGACTGAAAGTACCTTGCCTTAGAAATTTCATCCTTGATGAGGTCAAGAACATGCCTGCCTTACAAGTTAATCAATTCTTTACAGGTTGTTTTTGTCCTTGGACCCAACGATTTCATTACTGCTTCGAAAAGCCAACCCTCTCTCAAAAAGGAAAATGATTGTCTTAATACAACG